ATGAATTACACTCTTGCCTCAGGCATCTGCTGCTGTTGCAGAGCTGGGGTTTGTGTTCAGCCTGATTATCTGGAACTTGGCTAATGTCCCATGAAAAGAGATGATTATCAGATTCATTAATTAAGGTCCCATTTGCAGCCCGACTGTGCGTGGGAAACACCTGTGTGCTGGGATGGCCCACCTCTGTGCTGGAGAGATGCTCTGGGCCTGTGGTGGGGAGGGATGGGAATTGGGACAGAGGAGGAGCTGGGCCAGGTGGGAGACTCTGTCCTGACTTGAGGACATGAGCTGAGCTAGGTGGGTGCTGGGGTGGTGTCCTAGTGCAGGCTGTGCTGGTGGGGCAGTGCCCCACTCCTAGGGAGGGCGGACTGAGCAGGGCCACCTGCTAGGTGCAGGCTGGGCTGCCTCCCTGCATCCTCCAGATACCTGTCTGGCCCAGGAGCAAGGTCCCCTGCCAGCGGCAGGGTCTCCCCTTTGTCCCCCACAAAACAAAAGCCTGGGGTCCCGGGCAGGCATCGCACACAGGTTCCTTCCAGGACAGCTTTGTGCCTGCAGGAGGCCCGGCCCCCAGGGTTACCACTGCCCTGGGACTCTCGGTCCCATGTATGTGCTGTGTGCACATATGTGCATGTGTGCACACTGGAGTGTGTGCTTGTGAGAGAGAGGGAGGGAGACAAAGAGAGAACCAGAGACAGAAAGGAGAGGGCAATCCCAGGTGAGGTGTGTGTGTGTGTGTGTGTGTGTGCATATTTGTGCATATGTGTATGCATGTGTGTGTAAGCAGGATGAGCTCACCCCATGCACCCCAGCCTCAGAGGCTCAGGGCCACCTCATCTTCCCTGCCAGGCCACCCATCCTGTTTTGCCCTGCCCAGGGCGATCCTGCGAGAGCCTGGAGCCCATGGCTGCAAAGCAGACACCCTTGTGCTCAGGCTCAGGGCTCAGGTGTATAGGTGAGGCGGGGTGGGGTCCCCCTCTGAGCTGAGGACAGCCCCATGCTCTGTCCTGATGCCCATGTTACTGCTCTGCTGGGGCCTCCTGGCTCAAGCTTGATGCACACAGAAGCCTCCTGCCTGGTCGGTGTGGTGTAAACTCACACAGAGCTGTCCTTGCTCAGGTGCAGCCTGGGACTTCTTCAAGCCCCCCCACCCCCCGCCTGGCAACCCCCTTAGCTTCTTCCTCCTTTCCCTGGGCACAACACTCTGTCCCCAAACAAACAAGCTTGTGTGCCCCAACCCAGGGTGCCTGGCCTCAGGCCCAGGGTCTTCCTCAGCTGTCTCGTCCTGGCTGCTCACAGTGACCCCAGCAGGACTCATGTGCAGCAGGGTCATCCCTTCAGAGCTGTGCTGCTCAGGGCCTGGTGTGCTCAACTACTGGGGAACACCCCCAGCCCCAGGGTGGGAAGCTCAGCACCCCATGGAGCTCGATCACAGGGACCTGTGGCAGATGGGACACGTGTCCCCAAGTGTGGCACACAGCTCCCTGAAAAGCAGAGCTGTCAGCCCAGTACAGCTGGTGTGCTCCAGTCAGGGCCCAGAGAGGCTGCTCTGACCAGAGAGCTGTGGGAGTTCTGGGTCCCTGGAGGGCCTTGCTGGCCATGGAACTGGAGCATGACCAGAACCACGAGCACCTCTGGACCCCCTCACACCAGCAGCCCTTTGGGCTCTGCATCTCCACCCAGGCCTGTGGGGCCCCACAGCTGTCAGCCTCCTGAACCCACTCTTAGGCTTCTGGTCCCACATTTGGGGATCCTGGTGCTGGGATGGGATCACCCTTGTAGTTTAAGGTGCACAACTGGTTTTGGGGCTCCAGGAGCACCCTTGTGGGGTGCTGGAGCGGCAGCAGGCAGGAGCTTCTGAGGATCGCAGGGGCCTCCTCACCTCTCCCTAGGCCAGGCTTCTGCAGAGCTCCAGGCCCAGGTGGCCCTCTGCCCCACTCCATCTTGCTGCTTGCCAACCTCTGCTCCTGCACCGGAAGTCCGCCCTTGCCCTATTGTTCTGGGGCCTTCTGGGGCCTTGGCCCTGGTTACACCAAAGTGTCACTGAGCCCTGTGCTTTCCCACAGGGCCTTGGCCTTGGGGCTCCTGTGAGAACAAACCGGCCGGCAGAACCCTGCCTGAGGACTTTGGCCTCTCCTCTCTGTTTCCCGGGGGGGAACCTGCATCTCCAGGACTCCTAAGGGGCAGGTAAGGTAGCAGCGCTGAGCCGGGAAGAGGAGGTCAGGGACTCCTGGGCTGTAGACTGTCCTCCACCCTGTGCCCACAAGCAGGGCTGGTCCGTGAGAGGCAGCCTGGGTCCCTGCACAGATGAGAGGGCTGCTCCTGGGGCTCCCATCAGTGGGGGAGAGAAGCCAGTTCAGCCAGGCCGCCTGCTGAGGAGGAGGTGGCAGAAATCGCCTGCATAATCTCAGGAGACGACCACTTTAAATCTTAATTGGTTGCCTTTTAAATATCATTTAAGTCTGGCTTCCTGCCTCTCTCTAGTTAAGAAGGCGTCCTGTCAGAATCTATTACCTTGTGGATGTCTCTCCTCAGGTTAAGAAAGAAAGAGAGAAAAAAGGAAGGGGGCGGGGAGAGAAGGAGAAGAGGAAGGGGAGGGAGGAGGGAAGGGAAGGGGAGGAAAAAGGAAAGGAAAGGAAAGGAGAAAAAATGGAACCATCAGCCACGGTTTGAGGGGTCGATAAAGCTTTTAGATTTGGAGACGTTTTCCGGAGCCCATTTCCTGCGGCTACGAGTTGTTAATGGAGCTTAAGGAATTATCTTAGCCGGGCCGGCCGGGGGAGCTGTATATTTCCCCACGCCTGTTCCTGGTCGGGCCTGAATATGCTGCTGTCAGACTCGCTTAATGAAAAGTAACGCGCCGCTGATTACAGTTTTATTTGGGCTCTGTGTACAGAGCGCCGTTAATTTAGCCTCTCCTCTCCTCGGCGTGTTTGCATTCGCCACGCCTGAGTGGCCAGTGCGTCCCCGCGCCGCTACTCTGGCCGCAGCCCCATCCTGACACCCTCTCCCAAGAAGCTGCCGAGATGCAGCCTGAGGCTCTGCCTGGGACCACAACCTCCCCTGCGCTCCCCCCGTGGGCTCGGCACCCCCAGAGCGGGTGGTCGGAGTGAGGAATCAGTGGCCCCCTTTACACGTGCTGAGATGCCTCCCCTCTCCCCTTGTGTCTTTATTTAATCTCCAAGGGCGGGTCGGGTAAATAGGCTGCTGGAGCCCCTCTTCCCCATTCGGGCTCCTGGGACAGGGACTCCTGGGGCTGCCAGAGGTCCCCAGGGTGTGGAGTTGGGGCTGCAGGAGCCCGAGAGCCCTGGAGCGCCCAGGGGAGGGATCTGGAACCCAGCTGCAGTCTGGAGCCTTGGGCGTGAGCTCCACCCTCGGCAGGGCTGCGGGTGCCCCAGGCTGGGCCCAGACCCTTGAGGCCTCCCCAGCTCTCACCCTGCTGCCCCTAGAAGACCCCTTCCTCAGAAAGGCTTGGCTTTGTCTAGGGCTGGGCGGGGGCGCTTGGCTGCCCTTGCAGTCGCATTAAAATTCCTGCTGCCCCAGCCTGGGGCCGCGCGAGTCTCCCCTGAGACTCCACTTTCGCTATTACTGTCAAGTACCCTTGACTCTTTATTTTTGCCCTTTTATCTATTACAACTAATTCGAGTTCTTTTGCCCTTTTCAGTCTAAGACGTGGGCTTTCTGCAAAGCCTCCCCTGCCAGCGAGCTCTTGGAGCGCGCAGCCTTTAGAAATTGAGGGGTTTACTGTCAAAATGAAAATTTCACTTCAAATTATCTTGGCTGATGCTCGCTCGCCAGTCCGGGGGCTCCCGCCACAGGCTTCTGACAGGCACATCAGTGGCGGGCTTCCGATCTCGATAATATCATCCTCGGGAGCGAAAGTCAACGTGGTGACAGCCCAGGCCAGTACAATCCAATTACCGCGTGGCCGGCCCGCCTCAGAGGCGGCTGGGGTCTGTACTCAGGGTCCAAACTCGGGTCTGGGGCCAGGGTGGGCCCCACCACGCGGGGTACCCAGGGAGGCCCAGGAGTCCTGGTGCCGGCAACCTGCGGCTGGCCGAGGCTCACCCCAGTGCCAGCCCTCTGACCCATCAGGCCTGCTCTCTTCAGGGCTAGCCCGCCCGACCGGGGCCTCTTCCAGGGTGCAGGAGTCTGGCGCCGGTCCATCCCACCCCTCTGGCTCTGCTGCACCAGTCTGGCCTGGGAAGTGGTCTCTGTGGCTGTCAATCTGGGGCAAAGACCAGGCTGCGGCCACCTCTCCATCACCACAAGGCCTCCACTCTGATCTCCCTGAACACCAGGACCCTCAGAAGGCACGGGAGGACCCAGGGCAGAGGGCTTCTGGCCCGCGGAGAGCCGGGGCAGACGCCCCCCACCCCAGGCGCAGCAGGAGACACATAGGGAGGGAGCCGGTGAGGACCTCCGACTCAATAGGAGGCACAAAGGGGAACCCCGAACCTGGCTGGGCTGCATCTGCCCAGTGGCAGAACCTCAGAGAACCTGGGCCAGGCTCTGCCCTCTCTCCCACCCCTGCCCAGGCTCCTCCAGAGAGGGGCTCTGGGCCTTTTCACTTTCTGAGCATCGGAAGCTGAAGGCGGGGTCCCTAAGGGAGGGCAGGCGTGGTCGCACAGCCCTAGGCTGCCAGGCTCCTGTGAAGGCTATGTCAAGGGAGAGGCCAGGAGCGGAGATGGCTGGGGCAGCCATGCCCCACGCAGGACTGAGCCTCGGACTTCAGAAACTTTAATTTTAATTCAGTCAAAGCAACCCCTCCGCTCAAAGTCCCGGACTCTGGGCTGGGGATTTAGCTCAGTGGCACCGTGCCTGCCTTGCAAGCACAAGGTCCTGAGTTCCATCCCTGGTACAAAACAAACAAACAAAGAAACTGGAGCCTGGCAAAATGGAAGAATTTAAAAGTTTCCAGTCCCATGCACCTCTAACTTCAGAGCGGTGGACTCTGGTGCAGACCTTCCCACCCACCCTCTGCCTGAGTTTCAAGTCCTGGGGTTCCAAACGTGTTCTTTTCTGCAATGCAAACACCGCCACAAGGTTTTATTGGTTTTGTTACATCAGCCTCTCTCTGAAGCAGGCAATTACTGGTGTGCACTTAACACTTAAGAAAGCAGAACTGTCAGTCAGGAGTGTGCAGCCCTGGAGATGAGGTGCTGTCGGTAAGTGCTGTGGGCGGGGTGCAGTCAGATGGGGGCCATGCTCGACAGCCCACACTGCTAGCCTGGAGCCCAAACGCCTTCCCCGTGTAAACTTTGGACGTAAACTTTATGCGTAGGGGCTCCCGCTGCTCTGAGTACTCCAGCAGGTTAGGAGTTCGGGAAGGCTGGCAGAGCTGAGTTAGGACCTGGTGGGAGGCAGGCAGGGCTCCGCTCAAAGTCAAGGGAGACCGGTGCAGCTCCTCCCTCTGTGCCCGAGGCGGCCTCACCTTCCTTTGGAATCTCAGTAGAAAAGAGCCCCGCCCTCCCCCCTGGACCACAGGCTCAGGTGCAGAAGGGCTTGCCGCCTGCCTTGGGCAGGGTGAGCAGATCCCTTGCAGCGCCTGCACCTGGGGTGTCCTGGGGTGCAGTGGGCGGGAAGGCTCGGGCCAGGGGTGCCGTCAGCACATTGGTGCCTGCCCCCAGGGAGCGTCCCAGTGGCCCCGCATCCAGGAGGGCACCCTTGGCAGTGGCCCAAGCCTGGTTCAAAGTGCTGTGCCTGAGGATGGGGTCGTGAAAGACCCCGTCCACCCAGTTTCTGAGGCTTGTCACTGGGGAGTCCTGGTGCCTGTCCAGGGCCACAGGGGGGGCCAGGACTGCGGGTGAGGAAGTGGCTGGTGTTGAGGATACACCTGTGGGGGCCACTGGACCTTGGCGTTTGAGCATGCAGGAGGGAAACTCAGTCTGGTTCAGGGTGGTGGCTGCAGCGGCAGTGGCGGTGTGGGCCAGTGACCATATGCGTGGCTTGGTCTCCAGGCTCCCTGATGCCCCAGCGGGTGCAAAGCCCAGCTTGGCTTCGCAGGCCCGAGGGCCGCCCTCGGTGCCTGGCTGTGGCTCCGGCCCAGCCGCTGAGCTCCGGAGGCAGATGTGGGCCCTCTCCAGGTCCTCTTCCAGGGCGGTGCCCCCTCCTGCTGCAGCCATGGGCATCCGGAGGGCACTGGAGGCCTCCTTGCCGGGGGCACCCGGGAGAGGGGTGGGGCCCTCGGGCCGGGCGGGGGCAGGCTCCAGGGTGCTGCTGTCCAAGGCCGAGAAGGGCGCCTTCAGCTCACACTCCTGGGGCTCGGCCTCCAGTGCCGAGAGCTCGTCCAGGTCGCTGAGCTCCAGCTCCTTGTCTTCTTTGCCCGTCGGCTCTGGCACTGGAGGGAACAGGGCCATGGTCAACCAGTTGCTCCCCCTCTTAAACACAGCTGGGGCCTTCCTGAGCTGGGAGAAGTGACAGGCCCCTCCCACCCTCCCCTCGCCCAGGGCTCTTCTCTGGGCCAATACGAAAGACTGGGTGGGGTTTGACTCCAAATTGAAGTGTGCACAAAGTGGGGAAGCAGGACTGGGTTCCGTAAGCACCCCGGGGCGCCATCGCTGGCTCCAAGTGCCCGGACGGATGGACTGGATGGATGGAACGGACCGTTCACCCACTTCCCGTTCACCCACTGCTCTGTCCCTGGAGTCCTAACCGCGGGGAGGGTGTCCGGACCGGTCCCGAGGCCAAGCTCCCAGCACCTTCACTCTTGGCGCTTTTGATGGGCTCCTCCCGGGCCTCCTCCTCGCCAGGCTCCTCGCCTTCCGAATAGGGCCGCTTCTCGTCCGCACACTTGTTCCTGGGTGGCCAGGTCATCTTGTTCTCCTTCTTGAGCCGCCGGCGTGCGTTGGCGAACCAGGTGGAGACCTGCGTGAGGGTCATCTTGGTGATGATGGCCAGCATGATCTTCTCGCCCTTGGTGGGGTAGGGGTTCTTGCGGTGCTCCTGCAGCCAGGCCTTCAGCGTGCTGGTGGTCTCCCGTGTGGCGTTCTTGCGCCGAGTGCCGCTGTCCATGGTCCCGTACCTGCAGACAGGGGTCCCGGGTGGGGGTGGCGGGCACAGACCGGGCTCTGCCTCCTGGAAGGTCTGTGCTCATTATGGTTGGTTGGCTGGGCTCAGCCAGGGACCCAGCCTGGGGTGGGCACTGCCCCGCCTTTGTGGCCCAGGGCAAAGATAATGTTATTAAAATGACAGGGAGCTGGCTTCTTCCCAAGCACAGAGGTCATGGCCTCTGTCACTCCACAGAGATAATTCCCTGAGCTACTTTATGGGGCTCTGCTCCTCCGCCTTTGATCCCCAAACCGTAAACACAGATTGCAGACACAGGAGCCTGCACCCTAATGTGTCAGGCCCTGGGCAGAAAGGGTCTCGCGCCAGGTGGAGCAGCCATTGTGGGCTCAGTGGGTGTGCTGAGTCCAGAGTCTGGGCCTCCTGCTATCCCAGGCTGGGTGTGGGGTTTCCTGCTCAGGCTCCCCTGCAGGGGAGGAGGCTGCAGGGAGGCACCCAAGGCCCTACTTGGCCTGGCCTCCTGGGCGCTTGAGACCTGACTGCCTGAAAGACCCCAGCAGAAGGAGAGTCCTAGCAGTGCCCAGAGAGGCGTGGGAGGGGTGACTGTGGAAGGGACAGGCAGGGGAAGACCAGGAGCCCCTCACCTGTCGTAGGGGTATTGGCCCAGGGCTGGCTCGTAGGGGTAGTAGGTGGCTGTGGCTGGTGCGAGCCCCGAGTGGGCAGATCCCGACCCGTCCTTAGAGTCAAAGCTGTTCTGTAGGAGCCGGGGAGGGGTCCGGGTCACAGCTCAGGGACACACCGCGGTGCAGCGCGCACCCCATTCCCCATGGCCCTCGGGCTGGCCCTGGGGAGAAGCCAGATCTGGTGGCAGTGCCAGGTTCCCCAGCGTGGCTCGAGGAGGAAGAGTGGCAGGGAACTTGGATGGAGAGAAGGATGAGAGTGGGGTGGGAGGAGAGGAGGGGAGGTGGGGGAACGGAGCCGG